GTTATGAGGGTGCCAAGATAATCTAGAGGTACCCAAGATAAAACATTAAATGGTTTGAAATGAGCATGCCATGGGCTCTTTAAACAACACTGTGACCCAGTGAGAATCTGCTCAACAGACTGTTCAGTGTTCCTATCTCATTACCCTGCAGCACTGCTCCCTGTTACTAGTGTGGCATTTTAATGTGCAGAGTGAACCCTTTCATGCGTTGTTTGTGCTTACGTTGGTGTGCCTACGTGACTTGGCGTAGGTGCTGATGCAGGCAGCAATGTCTTTGGACACACAGCGCTCATGCACCGTGTACTTGCATACTGAAGGAAAGAACAAGAAAGAACAATTTGTAGACAGTTATAGTATGTTTCACAACACAAACCAGCCTCATTTAACATTGTCTTACTTATTAAACCTCTTTCATATCAATAACTGCAACTAACAATGGATTTAATCAAAGGTTTACCATATTAGAGATCATTTAAGAAAATAAGTGAATACTTTATTTCATCAGTGACAATAAGATCAGTCCCAAGAGCCGCTCCCTGGCAGAATTCAATCAATATTCAACCTGTACATAATGGCATTGTTCATGATTTTTTTTAATAATAATTGTGAGGACTTTGCATTGAAAAACAGCACTGACTGAATGCCGCAAATAACTTAAGTAAAGGGAAAAGGGATAAATGACAATGGAGAGACAATGACAGAGAGGACAACAGGAGAACAATGGACATGAGGAGATATAAACAATCCAGGCAGACAGACAAACAGGCAAAGAGACTCACAGGAGCAGCAGAGGCCCTGCTTGCGAACTCCGAGCAGCATGGTGTGGCAGTAGTTACAGTAGGCTGGTTTGTTGAAGTGCTTCAGACGCCATACATGCTGCCCATCTTCCTGGTCATTCTAGGAAGAGATAATGACAGACAGATGAAGTGGGCCAGCCTTGTCTTTTGACAGCTGTGGTTATTATTGCTGCTTTAATGTGTGCAGTGAATTTGCATCGACTGCTGCCCAAGTTCATAAATATGCACAGTATATACTGTGGTACATGTAATGTATAAAACTTCCAGCAGAAATAAAACAATGTTTAGCTTTTGAATAAATAAATATGAGTAGTTAACATGAGAGATAGCCAGCACAAAAGATACTGCCTACACAAACTTCAACAAAAAATACACAAAAAAAACCTTAAGAGCAATTCAGTCAGTGCTGCTCGCTGAGAACAGACCTATGAGAAACGCAGTGTAAAAACAAACAGTTAAATGGATTAAAATAAAAACAATACACATAACTATATAACCTTTTCCTTGCAGACGCACACACACACACACACACACACTGATATGTACCGTATCCATGCCCAGCAGCACCAGTAAAGGGATTGTGGTAAGACCTCCTCTGATCCACTCCTCCAGTGTGACTATCCCATCTCGGTCGTAGTCGATCTCTTCCATCATCTCCTTCAGTATCTACAGAGACAGAGACATTGTACACTCTGTGTCAATCTCAGGCAGACTACAGACTGTGGGTCAAAATAAGACAGCATTATGTTCCACATGTCAAGTTTTTGGACAGGCTAGAATAAGAATCCAGATGCCACCATAAGTACAAGACAAACCAAGCTGATTCTTTGTGAAGCTTGTACTGTGTGATGCTGTAGTGGGTGCAATGTTCACCCAATCTTGTTAAGTAAATTGCCTGACATGGGAAACTCTCGTGTCTTCATCAGCTTCTTCTAACATCCAAATATCAAAGACAAAAGTCACCAAATTCTTTTCATTCATGAGCATAAAATGTGCAAAAGTTGTGTTTTCAGTTCCCCCATTTTGTAGTTTTTGTCAAAGATTCTGTTGCAAAATGAAAAAATAATAGACTAAAGAGGCAATTGTCTTTGCAACACTTTGTTGAGAAAGTAACTCTGTGGTTGTTTATTTCTACCTTTTTGGAACTACAGTCAATCTCCTGCTCCAGCTGGCATCAAGGGTGAGAAAATAATGACAAAACCTTCACAGAGCAGGGTACTGGGGGGTTGTCTTTCTGTTTTGTGCCGGACTTTACTGCAGTGTAGAGTGTGTTTGCTCACCGGTCGCAGTTCTGTAGAGTCCCACTCCAGATACTCTGCAACATGCACCATCTGATTAATGATGCGATCTAGCTCCTGTAAAAATAAACACATGGGACAAACTGATGAAAACATTGTTCCTAGCTTCACCTTCTACTAAAACAATCACTTATCAGGCATTAAAAAATGTTAAACTTCTGCTTCTGTCAGTGTTCAGAAAAGTGTAACTACTGTATGAAATGCTCTCAATATACAGTATAATCCATTAAGAGACAAAACCCAGACAGACAGCTGAAGAGGGGGAGACAGAGCAGAGCAGCAGAGGCCACTCACCGAGCTGTCCAGAACCCCATTGCCGTCTGTGTCGTACAGCCGAAACATGACTGGAAGGGAACAAGAGAACAGAGATCTATGATGACTCAGATGCCGTCAGATAATTAAGCTGTAACCTTTGTTCTCAGACTCTCTCCAGATGATCATGGGGGTAAAGAAGAACCATGCTACTTCTGCACTGTTGCATGGGCATCTTGTCACTGTGTGCCAATACAGCCTTGGACTCTAAAGTCAACTGTGCAGAGCAGGGCTTAAGCATGTCACTGACATGCCCTATGTGGGAGGCAGCCAGAGAAAGAGGGAACAGCCTTATTACTCTCACTGTCATATTGCTGAGACCACCACATGATGCATACAACAGCTGCTCCAACTTGATATCTGTCTGAGAGGAGCTGACCATCCGCCTACATCCCCCATCCCATCACTCACACTCCAGCTTGTCCTCCGGCGTCCCCCTCTCGAGCAAGGAAAGGTAGCAGACGATGTCTTTGAGAAAGACCACCTGGGGCGACAGCATGGGGGAGGCCTTCTGTGGCGACGGGCTCCTCCGCACTGACAAATGCTTCTCAGAGAGGCTCCTCTCTGCCGATGGACAACACAAGTGTTTAAAGCCACTAACAACACCCAGTGTGTTTCTTCTCATGAAATTAATAGAGAATCAAAGCACAAGTAAATGACATGTAGCGTGACATTTTTAGAGAACTCTGATACAACACGTACTGACAACACAGAGCAGCGGAGAACAGGTAAAACACTGTCACAATAGAGTCAGAGGATGGTGAAGCCACAAGTGGCCGAAAGCAATATGTCAACATGTGACGGGGCGAGTCTGAAAAGCCATTAACTGGATGGAACGAGTCATGTCACAGAAACAAACACAGCACTGTCCTGTACGTCGGCACTTTTACACAGAGACACCCAAAACAAATCTCTTACTGTATTACCCTCATTCATGTTGCTTCAGAACATCAGGAGACCTTTTTCATATAGTGGTCCTCACTTTACCTTGAAACGCACCGTCTCCAATGAAGAGCAACTATAAACTTTAGTAGATTTGTTTCCTTATTCACTGGCATTAGGACCAATAACTGAGTGTTTACCAAGAATGATGGTACAGCAAGACCACATCCAAATTCCACATATTTAAGATCATCATAAGTAGGTCTGGACAAAAACATACATTTTCCAATTAAGTGCAGTTCTTGTTTGAAAGATTCAATTAGCAATTCTTGAGATTTCACAATCAATCTTTGCATTTGTGCATTTCCACAAACAACATGTATGACTTCATTAAATGTTATGTCTGCAGAGGTTCTCAGTGGCTCAGTTCAGACTGTATGGTATTTTATGAAAAATATGTTATTACAACATGCACAAAAAGTGATTTTAAGTTGCAAAGTATCATACTGTAGATGACAGCTGGTTAGATTACCTGCATTGAGTCATGACAGGCTGTACACACGCCACACTTTACAGACTTTCACTCGTGACTCAGGATGGTCAGCTGACTAACTGACCTAGAGACCCGGTCAACGAGACTGAGAATAAACCGAACCCCTTGCAGTCAGCCCTGGCTCAGTGTAGCTATCCTTACCTGGGGAAAGTCTGGGGGATCTTGGTGACCTGGCAGAGCTGGTGTTGGGGGTCAGGACGTTGCTGCTGCTGCCCTCTGAGTTTTTACCCTGGGTGCAGGGTGATCGGTGGGGCCCCCTAGGTGTATGGGCCCCAGTCCCTGAATGCTGCGAGGAGGAGCGAGATGAACAAGGGGAGGTGGCAGCTCCAGAGCCTGCTGTGCTCATCATGCTGGAGTGCTCCGGTGTGTGCCGGCCCATGGCAGACAGGATGCTTTTCCCATTCATTCCTGTTGGTGTGGACAGAGAATGAAAAACAGCAGATAAAAAAAACAAAAAGGCAAATTAGTTGAAGAGAAACTATGGAAACCGATGAAGACAAGGGGAGGGGATGTTAGATGCACAAAAAGTTGAGCGATTGCAATCAACAAAGAAATACTGTAAAACTTCACAACAACAATCCAAATACAAAAATCTCAGGATGCATAGAGGGACAGGAAGCAGGTACTGTAGATTTACAACAGTGCATTAAAACTTCACACAGATACAATTCAACAAGGCATCAAGTCATTCACCGATCCACAGGCAAACACATCAACACAACAAGAGCACACCAACCACCAGGGGAGCAGGAGGTTATAGCCAGGAGGACTCTTGTCATTAAGAAAACACCAGCCTGATGATACGAGAGGGTCGGCCTGCTCTGGTACCTGTAATGGGGGCACAGGCCACTTCGGTATGAATAGAGATGCCTGCGTCAATGGAACGAGCTTCTGTGGTCAGCCATTGTTTTGAGGGAAAAAGAGAATGGCAGACGCAGCAAGAATGAGTAAAGATCAGTGAAGAAAGAGTCCCATATATACATGCATTTAAGAACAGACAATGACAGGAACTAGAAGGAACCTTGTGAGAAGGAGACAAACTGAATTAGGTGAGTGCAACAAAATAAAAGCTTTGTCAAGAGCAGAGAGCTGTCAGTGGACATCAGTGGCCTCTAGTATATGTTACAGAACAGAAGGCAGGAACCTGCTAAAAAGTCATTAAGCATCACTATAGTAAGCATGTCATGTCGCTAACACAGCACCAGGGGGCAGTGCAGACTATCAGATGGTTCCTTGCAAGACCTCGGACCTAAACACTCACACTAAACCAGCAGACCCAACCAGCAAACTCCCTGATAAACCCCAGGTGAAAGGGTTACATGCATTTTTACAAATAGGATAGAGATAAAGTGATTTCAATCCTTCCCTCAGCTAAGGTCATGATACTGAATATTTGTTTTTCATTATTACTTATAAGGATAAGGATAAGGATAAGGATAATCACCTTTATTGGCCAAGTATGTTACACACAAGGAATCTGTTTCCGGTACAGAACCGATAAGCTTTGTTTGTATCTGTAGAATCAAAGAAAATATCCACTAGCAGCAGATCAGGGCAGAATATTCCTAGTCTGACATGGGAATATTTTTCTTGTGTACTTTAGATTTTGCACAGTGTGTATGTAGCTGACTATAGAGAGTTTAGTTGGTCACCACACCGCTGAGATCACAGCACATCATATCTTACAAAACTGCCTATAGAGCTAACACAATTAGTCAATGAAGAAAACATTTATTACCCACTATTACAGTCACCTGCTCAGCACAAATACCAAATACCAGCACAAAAAGTGCCCTCTAATTTTTGAGTATGCAAATAACCGTCTCCTCATGAAATGCAGGACACACAAGGTAGTCATTACAGTACATGCATGTAACTATAACATGTAACTAAAAACAAGGATGGAGGGACATCACAACCGAAGCTACTGTATTTGAGACACTGGGACCCTTAGCACCAGTGCTACCCCTCATGTTTGGCCTCTCTACACTTGTTGCCTCATGCTTTTACAAGCATTATGCCACAGAAATAGATTTCTAATTCCACAATCCATCTATCTCAAAGCAGAGCAAACAGGCAGAACCCAGTGCCAGGGCCCATTCCACACTCAGCCGAGGCAGCTTACAGACTGCACAGAGCACAGTGCAGCGGATGACCTACAACCTGGCATGTGCTTCTGCTCTGCTCAGAGTGAAGACCGTGTGTAATCTGCATGGACTTTTGAAGGTGTGTGATTCATCTCTTTCAGCAAAAACATAGACAAAATATAGACTAATCAACCACAGAGGCCATTTACTGGCTGTGATCTTTAAAATGGTGCTAACTAAGAAACTGTTATTTCTCAGAGACTACTCATCAGTCAAACATAGCAGTGAGCACTGTGATGTTCAGAGGCTTCTCACTGTATGTCCACCCACCATGATAACCTCAAAAAACTGCAGATAAAGAAGGCACAAAAGAAAGATTACAGTCAATGGCCACCAATCACAGTGCAGCAACCACGACTACTGCAACGGTTCCTCACCTGCATAAGAGAAGATTTGGTCAGAACCTTTTGTGGTTGATCTATTTAAAACTACTTACATATGCTCAGCACATTAACAGTTAATATGTGTGATAAAAGTCACTGAAGCAGGTGCAGTGATGTGTGTGAAGAGGCCCTCTCCCACCATCCGTGTCTCCATCGAAACGTACATGTGGCTCAAATCTTAACCAAAACTAAATGCACCTATATAAACTGCATATTAAAGGACCTTTCCATTGACTGCCATGATGCAAATATTAGGAGTTGGTTCAGGGTTTGTGGCACTAATTCTGCAGGTGGGTGCAATAAAGCAACTGCAGAAGAAGAGGGGAGAGAACATAGTTCTAACAAACAATGAGAACCAATGTATGAAACATGTTGGAACTTTACAGTCTCTTCAGCACTGCACACAGAAGATCTAACTAATGCCAGCAGGTCCAGAAACACCATCAGAGCTGCAGATGCTCAGCATCTGCTTGATGTTTTAGGGAACAAGTCTGCTCGGCCAGTGAGCTGGACTTTAGCTGCAAATTACTGGGAGATTTCCAAGAACGGGCCTATGTAGTCTGGTACCTTTTGTAAGAGATATTGAGAAAGACCTAGCTTGTTGCAGTTTTCAGACATGCTTGTTATATTGACGCTTAAAAAAACTGTCACCTTCCACAAACCTGTTTCCTAGAAAGGCACAAAAAATTCTGAGTTGAAATGCAAACCTTCTCCATTTGCATACAGTAGGTCTTTCTTGACAACATCCTAGTAATTTACTAGTAAATAAAGCACCAGCTAATTTTGTTTTAATTATTAGGAAAGTTTACAGAAAATAGGCTGGAAAAATGGGACCCATAAAAATAAAATGTTGCCAGAATTTCACTCAGGGTGCTGGACAGAAGCTGCAGTATCAAAACATTTGTGAAAGACTTGGATTAGACAGTGTGCAGGGATGAAAGCATGAGAACCTGGCTGACGTTGTGTGTTGAGAACAGATAGCCCACCACTGAAAGGTTGAATCATGACTTCAGCCATGTGATCAGTGGTGTTTAAAGATGCCACAGACACAAGCAGCATACCCAGTAAGCTCGCTCCTGCTCGAGACTGATCTGGAGAGCAGCCTCCCGTCTTGCTCTTGAAGGAGGTGAAGAGGTGCTGACACAGCTCTTCTGGGATGTCGTTCTCCAGGTAAGTGGCCATGAAGAGCTGGAAGCCCTCATAGTCAATTGGCTGCATGGGAGAGGAAAGAGCAAACAGATTAACAGAATATCTGAGTTCACCTGTGAATGACGTTTGCACCAACAGCGGATGGAAAAATGTGATGGTCATTTCTACTGAAGATGATCTGCCCTGAAATGAATGTCTGCAGCCTTGACGTGCCAGTAACAGGTTAATGAAAATATGGTTTGAAGCCATTAAAGTAAAAACATTATCAAGAGATTTTATACTAAGTGTTTAAAAGTCCGAGTCACTTCAGTCAACCACAGGATGTCTGTCTGAAGTTAGTGAGGGCAGAATGGAGGTGCTGGAAGCTGCATCCAGAAACAACCTGATGGCTTCACAGAAACAAAACAATGTACAGAAAGCAATACAAACACCAACACATATAGAAAAATTCCATTTTCACCCTCTCCCTCCCTCCCCCAGCTGCTCCACCCCCAGCCATGTGGTGGGTTCAAGGTAGCTCTGTACTCAGCTCAATGACCCCATGAACCTTTTCCCTTCTGGCAGGGTGACAGACCATCTGCAGCAGATAAGGTGGTGTTGTGTTATGTTAGTGGACAGAATGTGCATGCAGTGTGCTGACACAGACATCACACAGCATGCAGAGCCCACCGGGCTGAGGCTTACTTGGTTGAGAACGTCCTGCTTCTGTTTAACAGTTGGAACAATAAGAAGGAGAAAGGAGGGGGCAGGAAGGGAGGAAGAGTGAGGGAGGAGACAGGAGTTAGCTACTTTGTGTGGAGATGCTGCACACCAGGCTGATTGCTCCTTGTGTCAAGCCTGAAGCTATCCGGCAATCCTGACCACGTCATTCAATTCAAATTAAAGGTCATTAATCACATAAGCACACCTATGATGCAGTATGACCCGGACAGGCTTTCAGTTGGGATTAATCAGGCTGTATTGTGCAGGTGGCTCACCGATTACTGACACACCTAAAATAAACACAGTCATTGTTAAAGCACTTTGATTATTTGGCACCATGGCAGCATGTTGGGCAGAAGACCCGACTCTGCATCTGCAGCCTGGTGCACTAGACTAATGAGGACATTAGACAATAGAAAGAGGAGTTAATGATGCCTGATGCTCCCCAGTTATGGTGAATGGAGATGCATGTGCAGAAAGAATGTGGTTTGATCATTTCTGTTCCTTATATTAAAGTTAATGGTATATATATAAATTAGTAATTAAACCAGAATACCACCAGCAACAGCATGTGCACAAGAAAACAGGAATATAACTATTTTTCTCATCAAATTTAAAATTAGTTTATTAGTGCAACACTTTAGATTTTATTTGTTCTAACCTGACTGTTTTAAAGTGCCATCCCTCATCGTGACTGATTAGGATGGAAGGACCTTGTTTTCATGTTTTTAGGAACAGCCTTCAAGTAATTTCCCCTCTCTTTGCGACGTTACTGACAAATTACATTATCCGTTTATTTTCCAAAACCACAGTCTGTGTTCTCTTGGAGATTTTCAATCTGATGTTCAGGAGCAGGGCATGCCCAAAGCACACACCACTGCCTCTCCCAGTCATATTTAAACTATCAAGAAAGACTCACTTCCACTTTTCAGCTGTGAGCTCTGCATTCTGCCAAATCCCACCTCTGACCTCCCACCTCCCTACAGAAGCCTATCTGCAACACATAGCTAATGCTCTCATGCGATATCCTTACAAACGAATGTACCTAAACTCTCCCTTTTAGTAAATACATTTATTGCAATGTTATGTATTTTCCATGATATTATTTGTTTTTATATGTTCCTAGAGGAAGTGATCAGACCAGTAGCATCAGTGTTTGCCAAACTAGCTCTTGATGCATCAACAACTCAGGTTTTAAACAGAGCTGGTAAGTAAGTGCAAATAAACGAAGCAAACACAATAAGGCTGTAGCACTCGCAGGGAGCATTTGGTTCACTCCACAGTAGGACAAAAGGTAAAGCTGATCCTGTTTGCACATCAAGACTAGGGAGACCTGTGCTTGGGAGATGCTGTAAGTAATGCCCATTGCAGGAGAATGCACTGTGATGAGGATCTTCCCTCAGCTGCTGCCCTAACCCCGACAGCTCCTAAAGCCAGTCAGCCATTATTCAGATCACTATCCTCTCCTTGTTTGGCCAAACTGACCACAAGGTTTTAATTTGCTGCACACAGTGTAGAACAGCAAGTTCAGACAAACGTTCTCCTGCACACACAGTCTTTTCCCAATACACTACAAATGTACTAAATATGAAACCATGAAAATGCTGTGTTCATATTTAGAATGACTGGTTTCAATGTAAATACACCCATGTATTTGTGGAAACGGTCATCCCTCTCGAGAACACGCTTTCTCCAGGGTCTAAAGGCCGATTATGTTCCCTGTGGCTCACACTCAAGGCTGCCGATCTGGAAATATCTCCCAGGGGGCAGTTATGACACATTTCCATGGTCCATTTAATCTTTTTCCATTTAGCCAGGGCTGCCAGAATGACCTGACTGACTTCCTCTGGCATTACCAGGTAGGACCATGGGGGCTACTGTCATGTCTAAATCCCAGATTGGCAGAGAAGAACTGTCCATCTGAAGTACAATGTTAGCAAACTGCAGAAATGAGAATGTCATGTGTGATAAGCTGCAACCACCTCACCAGTTAGAGACCGACCACAGGCCAAACCTAAAGAGGATAAGAACTCGTGATCCTTGGAGTGCTAAACATAGCTTAAGGCTTATCCTATTTTATAACATCATTTTTAAAAGAAAATGGACCTTTTCATTCATTCTTCAGTCCATGTGGATGTTTGTGCGAAATTTGAAAAAATTCTCTCAAGGCATTCCTAAGAAATCACACAACCCAGAAACACGATGCCTCCAGCTGCAGCTATCGCCGGCACTGTCACAGCTATCAGTGGCATAAAAAGAAACACATTATTTGTTGTTTTGTTTGAATGGTATTATAATGGCATAATATTACAATACATCGAAACGCCTTCAAGATGGCTCCATGCACGTCCTCTGCACATAGCATGACAAAGTAGAATCTCATCTCAACAGGTCATTCTTCTAACATGATCCTATGAGTGCTTCTCTGGCACATCAGTGTCACATACAGAAACACAAACCTACACTGCTTTACGCTGGCTGTAGAGGTTTTTAGGTGCCATCACCAATCATGCTACACAAACAGGGCACAGCTAAATGGCACAGTGATAAATAAGTCATCCCTGATGGGTATGAAGCCTTTATCTGCTGTGAAGGGAAGCCCTGTGGGTGTAATGTCTCTGTCATCAATCACCAAAAATTATGGTGCTACTGTTTTTATGCTAATCTGTTCAGTACAGAAAACCCAACACTGCTGACAGCTGAACGTCGTTTCTTTATCCTTAGTCAGTTTCTAAGCTCCTGCAGGACCACACTAACACTAAAATAAAAGTGCTGAGCAGGAAGAACGAGACACCAGTCTACTTTGTAGATTCCACTGCAGCCGACACAATAGACTGAGGAACCAGAGGTACGTGTACACACTCACACACACACCGATAAATGGCACAAGCAGGACCGCGGTGGTCACTGTGGCGCCAGGTGTGCTCTCACAAAGCCCCACATGAGCAATGAGTGTGGCTTCTATGGCGCCAAACGTCCAGCCGGGGTGTTCATCATCACAGACAGTGACGAGAAGCTGCCAGCAGTGGAGGTAATGAAGAGAGGAGGGCAGAGGAAGAAGGAAAATATAATCCATCCATGCCACAAAGGCATGACAAATAGGAGGAGGTGTCTCAGATTATCATAAGCATCATGTGAACAGCCTATACTGACGAAATCTGCTGGCCGATGCATGTGCTGTGCCCTTTACTGCTATTGACAGTGAAAGCAAAGATGATGGGGTTGATCATGGTCAGTGATCGATCACTCGCCCCCTCCAACATGTGAAATTGCTGTGACAAAAATGATGGGGTTGATCATAGTCAATGATCGATCACTTGCCCCCTCCAACATGTGAAATTGCTGTGTAAGTATGTTATGTAAATGTAAATCAATTCTCAAAACACTACAGTGACATTAACATACCACTTCTGCTTGATCTCTATGGGTGTAAAACTGTTGTGTAACTAGGTGGTGTCTTGTCGTTAAATTTATTTTTTGGAGCACCTGTAAACAGTATAGCCCAGCGAGTGTGGCTATGGTGGTGAGCAGGTAACTAGCCATTTGAAACCATCTGAATTACTGTATTTTACATTTACATTACACGATGTTCCTCATCGGTGTAGCCGAAAGTCACAATCCTCAGATATGATTCTACTGTGAGGTTTTCTGCAGCGAACATCATCCTTTCACTCACTAACACCACAATAAATTATTACACCATTATGAAATATAAATTAACACTAGTAACTGACCACAGATGTGTTAGGATCTGTCTGACTGATCAAACTGTATGTCTTAACACTAGTAACGACACTAGTAACTGACCACAGATCTGTCTGACTGATCAAACTGTATGTTTACTTTGTGTACAGCACATCACAAAAAGATAATCGCCCACTTGTATACAAGTATCAGTACACACCAAAAATGTGCAGGTCTGTAATTGCATGTCACAGCACTGTGGCCCTGAAACCAGTCGCTTTTCCCATGATTTGGCCTGGGAGCCAGGATGTGACGGCAGGAGACACAGTTTACTTACAGTAACTGTGAAATGCCACTCAAAGTTCCACCACTCAAAATCCCAAACACCAGGAAGACTGGTGTTTAAATACAAGTATTAAATAGCACTAAACATGGGTAACTGGCAGGTGATTATTGTGGAACCTTAAGTTCGTTTCAAATGCTAGATGGGTAATATTTCAGAGAGATGAGAGTCAAAACTGAAAAAAGCAAAGAAATTTGAGACACAGCCCAGAAACTGCTGCAGCCGAGTGTAGAGCCGGGAGCTGATCTGCTGACATCAGGTGCCAAAGTTGATGCTGAGGTTGTGTCTCCACCGCAGCCTTTATCTAAAAATGGGGGGAGTGACTAAGCATATTGGTGACTGATATTACACTGAGTGAATCAGAGGAACTTAGCAAGTGTCCAATAACGTCATTGCAGGTGTTGGTGTGCGCACAAACAGTAGCTGTGTCAGAAGGTGAGAATGAGACAGAGAGAGGAACCAGCCAGGATGTGATGAGACAGAGGAAGCGTGGGGCAGATGTACCTGCTCCGGGTTGTATTTGGAAAGTACTCCTTCACCGTGAAACTCCTCCAGCACATCCTTCAGCTTCTTTGTGGAGTCTGAGGAGGAAACAGAGAAAAGGCTTGTTATTATGCTTACAGCAGTGCATTTGCTTTGCTAGACCTCATGAAAACCTGGATCCACCAATCCGCATGCACATCGAGTCCCCAGGTGGTTTTCATAATCAGATCTCTCAGTCAAAGTGTTTGGATTACATGCTTTCTGAAAACTGAATGAACATGATGAATACTGATAAATGCTGCACCAGTTCAGCTGAGAAAGTGAGTCACCCTGCTGGCTAAAACTAAAAGGGGACAATGTGTTCTTCTCACTGTTGGATGCTAATCCTGTATTCACTCAACACACATGGACGTCACAGAGGCTATGTCCAGAACACAACCGTGATGACCTCCTCCCACCATCATCTGTCCAACAGTTACAGGGGACAAACACAGTACGAGTATGAATGAGGCAAACCACCACCCGCTCAAGACCTGGCTTCACCAATCACGTTAGCTCTCATTATCAACTATCGATGAGTCTTCACACCATTACTGTCAGTGCTCAGCAGCTTTGCAGCCTGTAATGCTTTCATATTTATGTCCAGAGTTAGAATGACAGGAGACAAACAGAGCAAGGCCGAGACAGAGAGAGGAGTGTCCAACCTCAGGTTAGGTGAGAAACATGTAGAGAGGTGTCTGAAACAAGAGCCCAGTCTACTGTACTGCATTAGCTGTATGCACAATGTGGTAAAAAAAAAAAATGCTGCAACTAAAGATTATTTTATTGAAAGACTGTACAGATTTCAAATAATGGTGTAAAAATATTCAGAGAGGCAAAGGTGATGTCGTCTTTTGTTTTACCAAGAGATTCGCCTTAAAGCAGTTCAGGTGAGATGATACTTGACAAAGAAAACCTGCTGTATCACTCAGCTTTTGATAATTTGATAAATCATTTACTGAAATATCAGAATACAGTGAAAATGTCCAGCGTCTCTGTCCAAAGGGTATTCAACTTAGAGCTACAACCAAAGATTGTTTTCATTATCAATACGATGGCTTTCACGATTCTGTTATATAAAATGTCAGAAAGTAAAAAAAATGCCAATCACAACTCACAAAAACCCAAGGCGACATCATGAAACTGCATGTTTTGTCCAACAAAGAGTCCAAAATCCAAAAACATTTGATTTTCCATCATATAAAATTACGAATGAAAGAAAATCCTCACAAATGACAAACCGGAACAGGAAAAGGTTTCATACCTTTGCTTGAAAAGTACCTTAAAATAACATGGCACATGCTTTTTCATTCATTGTTGTTCATTTTTGTTAAATCAGCTAATGATTTTAGCTCTAACTGATCATAGTGGGGCTGCTACTAATGATGCCCATTCTATATTTTCTCCATTAACTGAATTGTTTCTATTCAGTTCAGTAACACAAAGGAAACCATCACATCCTGAAATGTGAGAAGCTAGAACCATAAATGTTTTTAAAACATGGCCCACATGATTCATGAATTACCAAAATGGCAGTGATACATTAGTTAGCTCATTCTTTCAGTTCTATTTGATTATTTGCCTGAACAATAACACGGAGCCCATTGCTCCCTCTCAGACCCTTATCTCTAAAGACAAATACACTGGCATCCTTCATTAAGTCTTTGATTGATTGGCTGCTGATGTCTTCCAGTGTTTCCCCACCCACACACAAATAAGAGGCCGTTTTAAAATAAGCTGCACTCAAATTACATTGGTGTGAAACGGCAGATGCATGACAAAAGAGCAGAAAGAAAATGAGTCATTATGTGTAACACTTTCAGACAAACACACCAGGGCCAGATGCACAAAAGTGAAACTCTGCGTACATACAGAGACAGAAGTGACTTGTAAAGTCACGCGTCTGTTTTATAAATCGCAATCATTGTGGAATTGGGTGCACGAGCTTCTTTTCCACCTTTAGCCACAAATAGATGTAGATGCTCTTAATCAGTCATTTACACATAAAAATGTGAACTGAGAAACTCTTGGAGAGGTGGAGAAAAGAAATGGTGTTTTGTTTGGTCAGACGGCTCTGAAATCACACACCTGTAAAGGCTGACCAGCACGCTAGTGATGTCTCATTCATCAGTCAACAGAAATGAATTTATGACAGTAATGCCACAGGTTACAAAGTGATTCTTCTTCTTCTATTTTCAGCTGCTACCGTTAGGGGTCACCACAGCAGATCATCAGTTGCCACCCAACTGGCGATGCGCATGCTAAACTTGTTTGCTGGTTTTACACCGGATGCTGTTTACAGAGTTATCAACATGTCTAAAATGAAGAACATAAAAAATGACATCAACATCAAAAGAAATCAGATTAGACCAACATAACAATATATTTAAAAATGCACTTTATGAACTGAAATATATGGAAATAGATAAAAATGAAGCAAGCTGCTTAAAACTGGCTGGTTTGTTTAAGTTACACAAAACCCACCCAAACTGTTTGTTCACATGGTCTGAAGTATGGCTGAGCTGCACACAGTCTGTGTTTAGACCAGTTTATCTGTGAGAGACCAGGTGTATGCATGGTTTTTCTGTGCATGGATTGTTTATGCATCTGGGCCCTGGTGTCTAGACGTCCATCAACTGGCCACTGACTGGAAGTAGAGTTTGGAAAGTGGGTACCTACTGTAATATTTATGAGATCACTTAAGTAGAGATAAGTATTTATTCATGTATTTTTCAACAACTATAAAAGGGGTGGATGCTGCTGTACTGTAGAAACATAATGAAATACTATATGGCACTATATGGTACAGTTGTAATTATCTAAATCATTCATAAGAGAAGTAATAATTGCTGACAAATATTGCTAATTAATTAACAAACACTTAAAATGTTCTTATAGTCTCTACAACTACATTATGGCATGTTACAAATACGAGAAATGGCTGGAAATTAATAGCTGTCCTCAAATCATCTGATTCAGAGCTTGGTTTGGTTTTAACATTATTGTGGGTATAAACATTACATTTAAATCACATTTATAAAATGATTTTGTAATAAATTGTTAAAATATCTTAAGATACAAAATATATGTATACAGTATATACACATACAATATGTGTATTGATAAATATAAACATTTGTACTGAAGATAATCACTTTATTTGGCCAAGTATGTTACACACACAAGGAATTTGTCTCCGGTACAGAAACAAGGCAGCCATCTGCGGCGCCAGCGGCTCTAACCATCAGGGGCAACTTGGGTGTTCAGTGTCGTGCCCAAGGACACTTCGACACGTGGCTTGAGC